GGGGGGGGGTGTACTCATAGTCGTGCATGCCGTAGTCGTTAGACCATTGACCTCGCATCCCTACAAAGCCGGGACGGAGCACGCCGGGTTCTCACCGGACCAGGCTCTCACATCACCAATCGCGAAGCGCCGTGAGGTATTCGGCGAGTCGCATGAAGGGTACGGTGCATCCTGCTAAGGGTTTTCGGCATCATGTGCTTACTTCCTTGCGTACGGATGACAGCTGCGTATGACTTAATTTATTTTCTGGTGCTTTCACTTCCAGAGACAGTTGTAAGCACTGTGTAACTGCCTCGAGGGTGCTTGACCATTTTAACACAACGTGGTGCGATCATCCCCCTTGCGCGGAGTGAGGGTTCTCCACCCCGCACAACATGATCTACTCGACCACCATTATGGTTACCGCCAAAAAAAAAAGAACGGAGGAAAAAAAAAAACGGAAATAACCTGGCTGCCGAGTTCACGAAGTGAATTGGCTTGTTTTGCAACGTCTTTGCCAAGCGACGAAAACCCATCCCCGACGGCAAACAACGGGGAGAGGGAAGTACCTCCAGGGTGGGCTAGGATAAAACAGAGGACATGATCTTACTACCCCTGCTTGAGCAGAGGATCCTGGGGCCCCCTCGATGTCAGACCTATCGCTACCCAAGGCACCAGCTACTGCCGCTGCTGCTGCTGCTGCTGCTGTTCTACAAGAGTTAGTAACAAGTGAGTTTCCCAGATAGCACCATGCGTGCATACCACTACATGGCTGACCCACCGGAAAAGGAGCTCTTCAGTTCGGAGAGATCAGATACGTCGTTGACACAGGTTGAAAGTCTAAACTGGGAAGACGAACAAACTTAAAAAAAAATGGAAGCAACCGACCAGGAGCACCCGTTGTAGGCTGACTGACCGGCGGAAAGGCCTGTCTCATGTTCAAAGCGATTTTTTTTTCCCGAATATAGAAATTTCGCATGTTGGACGGCTGCCCGCACGGCACACAATGTCATATGCGTTGGTACCCCCACTAGTCCACTCCTCCCCCCACCTGGGACAATTTTGTAACATACGTAAGCCAGCAAGAGTGTTCTGCGTTCGTTCGATCGCTAGACGACATACATAGACATATTGCTCCTTTTCGACATCGAGTTGAAAAGATTTCTCGCTCCACATTCAGCGCGATATCTAGCTGCCGTAACTCATTCGCGTTTCTGAGCCTCGCATTTGTTTCTTCTTCGTTGTCAAGCACATCATTGCAGTTTCCCGAGCTTGGACACCCTCAGCCCGCTGCATGCTGCCTGACTAGTGGTACATCTGTCGTGCCCCCAACGCCTTACGTGCATAGGAATTCCCTGTCCGCTCCCTTTCTCAAACCATAAGCACGACGCAAACCAAAAAGTAGCTTGGGGACTACACAGCAACACCAACGATGTTCGCCGGCTTGCTTTAAAAGGGATTCAGCTCAGTGAGGAACGAGGCGAATTCTTCGGGACAATTTCACGGCTTCTTTCTCTACATCTATTTATTGAGGCACCAATCAATCAATCTACCACAGGACCCCAAGCAACAACAATTAATGGCACGACCGAGTTTCTCTCCTCCGCTGTGTATGTGGACTTTGCTTTCGCAGCGTAAAGCAAGTCAAGATCATGCTCAAACCAGGGAGGTCAAGTACACTATGAATGAACTCATCGCAAACTTAAGCTGGACCTATTTGGTTCGCCTATTATGTAGAGACAGAGATCAACGTGTTTTCGTTTTCTAAGTGGAGGGCGTTCGTGCCCGTTTAGTCCTCTCGCTTGAAACCGTCAATCATTATTATTTTATGAACCTGGCGTTTTCTTCTGCCTGCCGTCGCTCGTACTCCTCTTTGAGGTGCTCGCTGCCCGCTTGAGGTCATTCACCAAGAACACCGACGGAAACCCGAGGAGGAACGTCTGGGCGAACCACCCCGGGGCCGCGTCTCGGTGGCCGGCGTGCCACGCCACGCGAAAGGCGTAGACCCCTTCCAGGACGTGGACCAGGTACACCGCGATGCACACGGCGCGAACGGTAGACTGCTCCTTGAGCAGCCGCAGCCCGACGTGCCCGGCTGCAGAAGGGAGGTCGGAACCGAGGAGAAGGGATGAATTATTTAGTGTAAGCGCGAAAAAGGACCATGGTCATAGGGGGCCACGCATCCATCTGGAAACGGAGCGTCGTCATCCCTACTCCGACCAGAAGCGCAACACCACCAAACACCAGTTTCGCCCTTGCCGTACAACCTTCAAGGGAGATCAGTGCAGCTTCTCTTTCTCTTCTCTTCCCTTCCTTTTTTTTTCTGGTGACTAACAGTGGACGCCATCCACATCTCTCTCACGAAGTAGCAACGATCATCCGCTGTTCCCCTTCCGGTGTGTCATGTCAATGTCAACTCCTGGACGACGACTCGGCTCTGTCTCTCACCACTTCTCGCCAGCGCCTCCGTGAAAGGAGGGCACGGGCCCCCGAAGGCCGCGAGGGTCACTAGCCAGATGCCCCCGGGGTTTGTGATCCAATAGGCGAGGGCTGGTCGGCGGACGCGGTGCCTCGCCCACCCGTCCCGTTTCAGCGACTCGACGGTTCTCTTGGTGGCTGTCGCGGGGTCGACGCTGCCCGATAGGGGAAGGTGGTGGGATAACAAATAAGCAAGGAGGAAAACGCTCGTTGACGGGTGTGGGGGAGGGGTAACGGGTGGGGAGAGAGGGAGGGAGGGACGGTCTCGAGAGATGCTGTCCTTCGTATTCCGTAACAGGAAGAACAGCGTGCAAGCTAAGCTCTTGAGAGCACCTAGGTGGTGTTGTGTCTCTCTCCGTCGTCTACTGCCGCTCGCGCTGTCATGGCGCACCATCCAGGCGCCCGAGCTTTACTTCGTGCGAGATCGTAAACCCCGTGCCTATCCAAAATGCACATATATATACGTACGTATCGGTCCCTCTCCCCACGCCTCACAAGACCAGATAACGTCTTCGTAGAGATCTACCGATCAAATCACGTCGCCAACATCTCGATCCCAAACCACACCAAACGTTAAGAGCTCGTTCGCCAAGTGCATGCATGAAAGGCAAAGTCGAATCGCTTGCCCTGCAATCGTCCAAGAGGGGGCGAAGCACCTCTCCGACGGGGTGGTGTTCGACGGAGGGAGAGCATGCCGGTGGCATGGCACCCGTGTCAAGCCACTAGGGGATATCCAGAACCGTATAACCGTCGCGTTACCGTGGAACGTATCCGAAGTCCCTCTGTGCTCGAGCATTGCTGTGGGTGCGGCGAGCCTCAGTGAGGCCCCGGATGTCCGATCTTGTCAGCGCCGGCGCGGTCGTTATTCCCACCTCAAAGACCAATCGCGAGGGAGGGGGGACGTACCAGACACCGTCGTGGCATAAGCAAACAAACCAGTGATTCATTGTGTACCGCCGAACGGAATTTTGCACAGATGCCGTCACCAATCAGCACTGCTGTAGGACGCGCGTTGACTAGCAGAACAAATAGCGCACGACCCCTAAAATTGTTTTCAGTTTGTTGCCGATGGCAAGTGCTGCACATTCACATTGCAGCCGGAGAACGCTACGCATACCACAAGGTTACTAGGGGTAACGAGTGCTAAAGGCTACCGGAGATGAAGGAGGTGTCGGGACGCGAGGAGAACGGAGGTGAGAACCCTATTTGTACCCACTAGACCCCAAGCGCGGCGGTTCCGGAAGGAATCCAGGTATTGTTGACTGCACTACCACCCCGTTCTGTTTCCAACCACGCCCCGATCGATGAGACTCGACGCTTCTTCTACTCACCACCCACCTTGCACAACAGCTCCGCCACCCGGGCAACCAAAAGTGCGACCGAGGTCGGCACCCGAAGCAACTTGGACGTCGCAAAACCTGCCAGTAGCCGTAGCAGGCACCGATGTAGGCAGTCAAGCATA